CCCCCCAATACAGTGCCCTCCCCTTGCCAGCCAAACCGATGCACATGAATGAGTTTGTTAGTGAAGCTTTTGAACATTGTTCTAAAGCTCAACCTTGAGGAAGCAGCTCTTTGAAGTGTGCCAGCATGCTTTCTGTAGCTGCTTGCATAAATTTGAATCATTTCATATCCATTGAGTTGTAAACAAACCGTAAACAAATGGTGCGACATAGCGCCATGTTTGCAGACTCCATCGGGCTAATTAGAATAAGCTCACACCTCTGTGGCAGCAACAGTGGTACTTACAGCTTAGACTCTACATTGTGTGGGAAAAAAAGACAGAAGAGGGCTTCTGGCTTCACAGTGTACTGCTTAGTTAGTGTGTTAGCATAAGAATTGAATCCTGCCTGGGCTCAGATCAGAGAGATCAGAAGATGACTGGTAGTGTTTGAGAGATGCCTAATGAGATATGGATCAGCATTGCATCCCAGACTATTTTACATGTCTCTTGTCATGTGGGAGAGTGGGGCACAAACTAACGCGGGGGAAAATGTAACATAGACTTTTTACGTAGTTCAACAAGTAGAATGTGCTTTTGATTATCGTCTCGAATTCCCATAGCATCGTCATCTTTGAATTATCAGAATAATTGGGTGGATTTCTCAAGATTCGCCCTGAAGGCTGTGGTAATACAATTGATTATTATTATTATTTAGTAATAATAATGATCTGACTGTTGTCAGAAGAAAACCTTGTATCTCCAAAATGGTAACTTTACAGGAGAAGGAAAAAACATACTTTACTTTTAATGTAAGTCAATGGAACCACAATATTTTCCAATTCATTTTGGGACATTTCTTTTAGTCAGTCCTTCATGAAATGTAAACACAATGTGAAGGACAATATGTATTTTCAAATTGTATCAAAAACTGTAAAACGACAAATATGGAGATACGAGGTTTTCTTCCGACAGCAGCGATATATCTGTCTATATATATGTGTGTGTGTGTGTGTGTGTGTACATGTATAGGTGTATGTGTATATATATGTGTGTATATATATATATATAATATATAATTAGCACATAGGTGTTTCGATAGTAAGCGAATAAAACAAAAGTATTCAGCAACTCATAATTTTTGTCCAATTTTTGTCCTCTTACTTCGAGTTTGGGGTTGAGCAGGATATGCACTGCTGCCCCTACAGGCCGGAGCTTAAATGGCATTATAGGATTAAAATTTCAGTGATTGAAATAATAAAATGTTAAGAGAACTAAATACCAAAGCTTTTTTCCATCAGGAGTATAAAGTAACAGTGTTTAAATCAAATTGGATCATTTGTTTATCGTGGTACGTGTGCAACCTCCACTTCAGTACAAGAACTGCAGTATGCAAAGTTATTAGTATTTTGTTATTAGTTATTATCTATTTATGGTGATATATTAAAATAACTGTTAAAATATTATGCTTAGATTTATGTGCATGAGTTTGATCGTACAGATGCATCAAAGATTAAATTGATGAGTAACAGAACTTTGATTAAATCTGCATGCACTTATTTTACAATCAGATTTGACCTTAGACAGTTTGGTAAATGAGTGAAGAGCCAATAGGCCAGGCTAGTTTAGGGTTAACACTGCTACAGTTAGTCATTCCAAAGTAAACAAAAAGTAAATAAATCCAAAAGTTTTTCTTTGTTTTGTTTTGTTTTTGTTTGTAATTCACAGATTCATCAAAAACACATTACAGATTTATAGATGTGATGTAAATACAGTTCATTTGCATTTTTGTCATGTAATATTTGCTCTTCAGTTTTTTGTTTAGGTTGAAAAGTTAATCTGGTTTAAACTACATTGAACTGTATTGAACAAAGTCTGCTTGCCTTGATTTACCAGACTTCTTAGCAACTGTTACAACTAACAACTCTGTACGTTAATCAAACCCACAGATGGGGTAAGTTGTGACATTTGCTCTCCTGCTGCTTTCAGTGAACTCGTGATGTTCTGGAGTCGCTGTACAACACACATGCTTCATCATGAGTCATCTTCAGCTGCACTTTCATGAGAACCGTTTCTATGGAAAATAGTGACCCACTTCCTGACACAGGGCTGTCTAAGCTCAATCTTCTGTTCTTTGTTGTCCTTTTAAAGCTAGTTGTTGTCTTGATTCTACATGCAGTCATATGTGCACCACTGAGCTGCTTTTGTTCAAATGTTGTTCAGAGACTTCCGGCTTTCAGAGGCAAAAATATTTTTTTTGATAAAAGCATCCTCTTGAGGCATTGTTGGCAAACTATTTTGACTGCGAATTATGGACTAGCTGATTGATCTAATAAAGTTTTGCCTTCTTCAGTTCTCCTTAATCATATTTATTATGTGTGTGTGTGTGTGTGTGTGTGTGTGTATATATATATATATATATATATATATATATATATATATATATATATATATATATATATGTTTTAATAGTAATAAAGCCAATAAAACCAAAGTGTTCGGCAGCTCGCGAGCCAATTTTTGTCCTCTAACGTCGAGTTTGGGTTTCAGCAGCAGGAGGTGCACTGCTGCTCCTACAGGCCAGAGCTTAAATGGCATTATAGGGTTAAAATTTCAACGATAAAAAGAAAAAAAATATGCAGAGAACTAAATGTCAAAGCGTTTTTCCATCAGTAGTGTAAAGTAAAAGTCTTTAAAACGGATTGCATCATTTGTTTATCACTGTGCATATAAAAAAAAAATACATCCACTTTAGTAGAACTGCAGTGTGCAAAGTTATTAGTATTGCCAGTTATTTTCTGTTTTTGCTATTATTTCTGATATTATTGATGTTGATATGTTGACAGTTGATGTTAAGTTTTAATTATTTAATGGCAAATCAGGGTGTTTTGGGGGGGCTGTTAAAATATTGTGCTCAGAATTATATCTTATTGTAGACAAAGCAACATTTCATAAAACACAGTGATGAGAAAATGTAGTATTAGACAGGAATCTTATTAGTATAGCACTTAGTCATCTGTGTGGGGCAGGTGTGTTGTTCTCGGTGCCCTCTTGTGGTCTGCACAAACATTTTGTTACCAATATACATACATTTAAAATGAAAGTTAAATTGTGAAACATTTGCTCCTTTTTTAACGAAACTAGGCCATTACATAAACACGTGGTCTTTCACATGCAGCACATACTCTCTCTCTCGCCTTTTTTTTCTTGACGTGCTGAAAGGCGTTGTCCCTGAGTCAGGGCTTGTCAGCCTTGCCGAAAGAGCAAGATAATGTGCTGGTGTGGTGAGGGTTGTGTTGTTGCGGTTAGCCGGCTGAGAGGTGTGTGCAGGAGGCTGCAGATGTGTGCACATAAAAGGCATGGATCGTCTGCCGCTGTTTCCTCAGGAAGCCTTCGCTATGCATGTGTGCTTTGCCCTGGCAATCTGCTACATGTGTGCAACTGAGGAAAACATGCTACTCGCGTGTCCTACATTTTATGGGACGGTCTGAAGTCACCAAGGCTGTCAAACATCGCTTTTGTTTCTGCAGGAGGCTAAAAATGGCTCTCCACCCATCACATTTTGCGTTCATTTATGCGAGACTGGTGAAGCAAGATACTGGAAATGCTTGCTTTGCGCTGCTGAAACCTGCGCTACATACTTAGGACTCATTTCTTAAACGTCAAGCACAGAAATATTAGCACTGCACACTGGTTGTATGTCCAGGTTTAGCAAGGGAAAGTGCTAATTAATGTTTATTCATTTGTTTAACATACTTAAAAACACAAGACATCCATTGTTTTTGTTTTTTGTTTTTTGTTTTGGAGATTTGGACCAGATATCACAGTAAAATAATGAAAAAATATTGTCATTACCTCTGTTTACATGCAGCCTAATCATCTGTTAATAATCAGACGAATAGCTCAATCAGAACAGAACGTAAAAGTAAATTTGTAAACATCTTAATCGGAACAGTCTAGTCTGATTGAGGCCATTTTTGGAATACAGTTTCTATCCGACTGATCGAGGTGGGTAATCTGGTAGATAATCCGTTAAATAGAAGAATAATATCCGTGTAAATGTCTGTATCTGATTACATTCCCTATCGGAAAGTTTAAGTCCGTTCTGATCTTGTTCGTCGCGTCATAGTGAAAGTTTATACCGTTCAACATGGCGGAGCAGAAACTGGTCTGCAGAGGAGACAAAGTTTATGCTCTGATCTTTAAAAGACGGCGGTGGGACGGACGTCCAGCTTATGTGTCTCAGAACACGACGTCTTCCTCTCGGCCTCCTTTAATAAGGACATGTGAAGGACGTTTTCCTGAGTCTGACATCATTTTAAAGCAGTTAAAAACACAAGCACTGCTCACTGCTGCTCATCTCACTCTGACTGGACTCACGTGATGCTGGTTGTCACGGTAACGTCTACACTAAGCGGTTCTCTATGCATGTGCGTAATTTTGGATCTGATTACTTATAGTGAGCATGTAAACAGAGATTTTCCATCAGATTGTTGAGTAGAGTGAGAATAAACACCTCAGTCTTAATCTATAAGAATGTATTCAATCAGAAATCTTTGCATGTAAACACAGCCATATTGCCCACCTGTCATAGGTACGTCATAATAACAATAGCAGCACTTTCTCTTACAGTAATAATGAGACAGTTAATAACTGTGAGGCGGATGCAAGAGCAAAGAAATTGATGTGGAAGTTGAAGCTTAATCTTTGTCCCCCCAGCACAGGCCTCACTGATCTGTACTGTTGATAAATACAGAAAGCACATGCACATCATATGCTTCTGCGCCACCTTCAGGAGGTTTCAAAGAATTACCATTCTTAATAAGGGTATAACGATCCAGTCACTAAATTGATCTGCCAATTCCTACCACATTGATCTGCTGATGGTAAGCACATGTTGAGCTGCTCTTGTATTCGCCCTGAATTGAATTTGAAATACAGCTAAAGGAATTTCATTTCCCTCATAATGTAACACCCAGCACGAGATCTGCTTCACCGACCTAAATATGCTTGCACTGTTTCAGGCCTGGGCAAGACGAAACGAAAGACGAGCGCGAGGGACACGTCTCCAACGCCGAGCACGGACGCAGAGTACCCCTCGAACGGCAGCGGAGGGGGCGGAGCCGAGCGAATCTACGACCTGAACACGCCGGCTGTGGTGAAGTTCGCCTATGTGGCGGAGCGGGACGACGAGCTGACCCTTGTGAAGGGCGCGCGCTTGCTGGTGATGGAGAAGTGCAGTGATGGCTGGTGGCGCGGTAGCTTCGACGGACAGATGGGCTGGTTCCCCTCTAACTACGTCCAGGAGGAGGAGGCCGGGGAGGACGGCGGCGATCCGCCCACCTCACTGGCCTCCCGGGCGGCCCTCGTAAACGGCCAAGGCCCCCGTGTACTACACACAGTGCAGACCCTCTACCGTTTCAGCTCAGCCGCAGAAGAGGAGCTGAACTTTGAGAAGGGCGAGCTCATGGAGGTGGTGGAGAAACCTGAGAATGACCCCGAATGGTGGAGATGTAAAAACTGCCGCGGGCAGGTGGGCCTAGTGCCAAAGAACTATGTGGTGGTGCTCAGCGATGGGCCAGAAGCAGGTGGCACGGGGCCCCGTGCCCAGCAGTACACCGGGCCGGCCCACACGGGGAGGTTTGCGGGTAAAGACTGGTATTACGGCGACGTGACGCGGCACCAGGCGGAGTGCGCATTAAACGAGAGGGGCATGGAGGGAGATTTCCTGGTGCGAGACAGCGAGTCTTCTGTGAGTATGGGGGGGTTGTACCTCATCACCATCTACCGCTGCACTGGTTGGTTCTCATGTTAGTGTTGGATCTCTAGTTTATCTGAATGGGCAGCTTCTGTTACTCAACACAAACACTTACCTGTTTAACCTGCAGCAACCAAAAGAGCCACTTAACTATTTTTGAATAATAAATAAAACATGTTTTCAGTTGTAGTACTGTTTTTTTGGCCTGCTGGGACCAGCACACCAGTTTATCACCAGTGTATTATTAGTAAACACAACAAAATGGTAACAATACCCTTTTTTCACTACTTTTTACTCACAAATAAAAGTGGAATTCCATCAGTTTCAGTGGAAACAAACTCATTCAGAAACTTGGCCGTTTCTTTGCAATAGTGGTGATGGGAACCAGAGGTTGTGAAGTGTACAATACAAATAAAGCCATTTTGTTCATTATCCAAAATAACCAGTGAGGCTACACTGCTTCAGTTTTAAGTGTAATGTTAACAATGTAGTAATAATGTTAGTAATGTAATCTGTATGTAGTGTTAATAGTGCTAAATCCATAAAAATAAGTTTCTTTGGGAACTGTTTTGTCCTACATGTACCTCTCTGCCATGAATGGATTTAAAAAAATACATTTTAGGCCAAAACACAATCTCCAGATTGTTGTGAAACAGTGTCTCAGGCACCAGGACGTTTATTTGTTACCATTTTGGATAATGTTTTCTGTGACGTAGCTTTGGTCGTCTGTTTCCCATCACCACCACTGTGGACTCTAAGGCCCAATCCTTTTAACCCCTACCCCTTGTTTTCGAGTTTCACTCTAACCCCTTGGAACTCAGTTATAAGGGGTAGTGGTTGAAATCTTGCTCTATGAAATCGGACCCTCAAATAAAAAACAAATAAATAAATAAATAAAATAAAAACATTACTTCATTAACAGCTACTAGCGCTGCTCTGTAGGCGACCCGGCCCGTCTTCAGTGATAACAGAGAAGGGAAAAGTTCAGCTTCTCACTGCTGGGCTTTAGTTACATTTAGGGCATCATATGCTTTTAAAGAGGGGGGACAATTATTATACATCATACCATAATACATTAAAACATTGCTCTGACTTTGTTTACATCTTAACAATTTAATTATGCAGAAAATTTATAAAACATTTGTGGAATTCTGCTTTAACCAAACATCCGTTCATTGACTCTTATGAATTCTTGAATATCAACCTCAGTCGCATCTCTAGGAGACAGAACACCAAATATGCAGGACCAGATTTGGGAATTGGTGTATAGGTTACTGTTATAACCGGCCTTGGTCCAACCTTGTCAGGTTGCTGATGCTCACCTGCAGATCGTGTTCTGCTGGAATGATTAAACACAACAGTTTTGTTGTCTCACACAGTATAATCTCGGACACAGTTTAGTTTTAGCAACTAAAATTTATATTACGTGCTGCGTTTGGCATAATTGGAATTTGATCCCAGATTCAGCGTTTTAAGTGTTTGATATTCAGGAAAAGTGACGCTCAGACTCTGATCATCGTTTCTCTGTCTCTCTCGGCAGCCGAGTGATTTCTCCATCTCTCTGAAGGCGGCGGGGAAGAACAAGCACTTCAAGGTGCAGTGCTGCGAGGGCATCTACTGCATCGGCCAGCGGCGTTTCAACACCATGGACGAGCTGGTAGAGCACTACAAGAAAGCGCCCATCTTCACCAGCGAGCACGGAGAGAAGCTCTACCTGGTCAAACCCCTCCAGTGACCTTCCAGCCACAAATGAGCCTTAGGACCCAAGCAGACCTCACGCTGAGCCAAGCCGTTCCTGCGCCTCCTTCCTCCTTTTCTCCTTGGTGGTTGTTTCTCACCAGCAGGTGGGCCGAAGCAAAGAGTGCCAATACAAGCAGCCGGACATTTAAAGACTATAAGTGACCCATGCTGACTGAGAATGGCGGTGCAGTTTTGTCCTTCATTTTTATCTGTTGTCCTCTTATTATTCACTTGTTCATGTCTTTTTTTTATGTTTTGTCTTCTCAGAGATGGTAGAAGGATGTTTATAATAAATCTTGCCTTCATCTAAGTGTTACAGAATCACATGCTCGTTGCCTTGGCTAGCTCGTTCTCTACTCAGAGGCACAGGAAACCCCTCGTTCAAGTTCACACGAATAGTGTTTCAACCATGCGTCTATTTTCAAAGGTACTTTGTTCTGGTACAGTTCGATGGTACAGTTCAGTGGTAGTGAAGCCCCCAAGCCTTCGCTTAGCATGCAGAGCTACTGGTGGGAGCGCAAGCCAGAGGGATAACACGGATGCTGTATCTACACGTGTTGCCAAAGAGAGACTATCGGTGACCAACAGGTACTGGCTGCCCCCTGCTGGAGACGCACGGACATGCCGACAGGAGGCCTGAGATGAATGTCAGTAGATGCTCAACCAAATGTGCCACATACACTCGTTATGTGTAAGTATATTTCTCCACGTTATTCAGACCCACTATCTACGTCAACCTGAGTTGTGCTATACCCATATTATTGTGGACACTGTCAAAAAGGGTACGATTATAAGAGAGCTTATTCTGTTGGATACGTCATTGTGCATTTACTTTCTCTGCTTTTTAAGAAGTATATGTCTGAATGTTATAGAGCATTGTTATTTAAATTCATGTTACAGCATTATGTCTATTTAAACAAGAGAATAAGGTGCATATACAGAAATTATAGCACTGTACCGACAGCAGTTGTGTTGAGAGTTGAAATACCTTTTGTTTAATTAAAGGTTTTGCAAAATAATGACAAAATGTCTCAGGCTTTTATCATTCAATGGCTTTGTATCCCAGTTGAAGCAGAAACAAAAATGTGTATCTCTTTCAAACAGGCCTGTTCACTGCTATGTCGAGGCGCCTGCACTTTCAGACAACCTACACTAGAGGGTAGCCATCTTGCTGTAAGACCCCCAGAAAGAGTCATTTCTGAAGTAGGACCAATAATGGATCCATATATACTGGAGGATCTCCTCTCCATCATTGTAGTTCACTTAAGCCACACTTAAGACTATATCACTGCTGTTGTGGAAGAAAACCTTGTATCTCCATTTTTGTTGTATCTCTGTTTTAGTTTTTGACATAATTTGAAAATAACTGTTGCTTTTTACATTGTGTGTACGTTTCGTGATGAATGGACCAAAAGAAACGTCCCAAAATGACTTGTAAAAAAGTCTGGTTCCATTGATTTACATTAAAAGTAGAGTATGTTTTTTCCTTCTCCTGTAAAGTTACCTTTTTGGAGATTTGAGGTTTTCTTCTGACAACAGCGATATGCAATAGTGACCTGTAGTCAAAGCCAAGAACACTTTTAGGCTTGAGGTAGTTAGATTTAAGCAAAACGTTCTTGCATGCAAACTGCAGTTGGCTTGTAAGTGCAGAATTAAGAAAAATATTGAAACATACAAATTTTTCAAATAAAAAATGGAAGATCTGTTGACCACTGAAAATGTTTTTCTGAAGAGCTTTTTTTGCCCACTGTGTCCAAAATTAACCATGAGGAGCACTTTTCACGGCTGGAATGGAAGATTAAAGTTTACAAAGCCAAAAAAAAAATCTTCTTTGGCTTCGATACTAGACTTTTTTATTCATTTTTTTAATTCATTTTATTCATTTTCTAATTCATTTCACCATGTGTGTAAAAATGCTTCTATTTTGCATGTCTTTTCTAATTTAATGTAAACGACAAATAAAAGGTAGTATCTTTGGAAGTTCACATGAATTTTAAAATTTCGTAGTATTTGATGTTTTTTTTGTAAGAAACCTTTTTGTAGAAAAGGCATTAACATGGTCAGTTTCACAAATTTGCTTCAATTTGAATAATATTCTAGAAACCTTTTTTTCAAGGTGCTAAATTTTTTTCTGTTTATTTCCAGGTTTGAATGAAAAAATATCAGATTTTCAATGTGGTCTCAGACTTTTAGACTTTTTATATGCACTCTTAGAAAAGATGGTTCTTCAAGGGTTCTTTAGTAAAGAAATGGTTCTGATTAAATGATTCTTTGCATTGTGAAAGGTTTCTTTAGATTGATGGGGACTGTGCTGGATAACTGCCAGTTTCCACTGTACTCCATGTAGTTATTGAATAACCTTAATATGTAATAAGCCTTGGATTTTAAGAGAATGAGTTTTGTCAAAGATCTCGTTAGAGCTCTAAATCGATCCTCCCCCAAAAAAAAGATTAGACTCAAATGAGAGTCGAAGCTTTCCACACAGAAACGTGGACGTTTCCCTGAATCCACATCCACAGGGAGTGGGAACTGTTCTGCTGTCACTGTATAGACAGCCTGTCTGAAAAAATACATCCTAACACATCTATAGCCCAGCAGTGCTTTTAGACTGAGTGGAAAAAGTAAAATGTTTTTGTAATGGAAAAAAATGGCAAAACATTTGTCCACCTGAAGGAGCTGAAAGAGGAGTAAGTAAGTAATGTTTATTTATATGCCGCTTTTTACAACAGGTATTGTCACAAAGCAGCTTTACAAGGAAATCAGCATTACAGAAAGAAATCTGGGTCCAAGCCCCCATGAGCGTCGCCAGTGGCGACAGTGGCAAGGAAAAACTCCCTAAGAGAAACAGGAAGAAACCTTGAGAGGAACCAAGACTCAGAAGGGGAACCCATCCTCCTCTGGTCGACACCGGATAGTAAACATTGTTAGTACAAAAACAGGGAAAACAGGTGGAGCAATGATTCATTTGATTAGTTTAGTTCATGTAGCAGCATCAGCATCAGTGGGGTCAGGTTGTGAGGGTGAGGTTTGCACGGTGTTGTACAGCAAGAAGCTCAATGGTGGTCAAGCCGCTCCAGAGGGCTGGCGAGCAGTGGCACCCGATCAAGGCAGAGAGGCAGCAGCATCAGAATGAACAGGATGGGCAGCTGTTCAACTCGGCAAAGGAAAGAAAGAAAGGAAAAGAAAAACACACAGAGAGTCAGTTCTGTAATGAGTGACTGACAGAACTGCGAGTCAGTTCTGTAATGGGTGTCAGTTCCGTAATGAGTGACTGACAGAACTGTGAGTCAGTTCTGTAATGGGTGTCAGTTCTGTAATGAGTGACTGACAGAACTGCGAGTCAGTTCTGTAATGGGTGTCAGTTCTGTAATGGGTGACTGATCACAGATTACAGTGTTAGCAGAGACTCTGGCAGGTATAGAACTAACAGGGAAAGCCAATCACCAAAGGCTGGAATATACCAGTAAGTTTTTAGCCTAGACTTAAAGACTGAGGCTGTGTCTGAGTCCCGAACACTGACTGGAAGATTATTCCAAAGCTGGGGGGCTTTGTATGAGAAAGCTCTCCCCCCGATGTAGCTTTATTACTTCTAGGTACTAATAGTAATCCCTCACCTTGTGATCTAAGTAAGCGTGATGGTTCATAGTGAGAGAGAAGTTCACTCAGGTACTGAGGGGCGAGTCCGTTTACAGCTTTATAGGTCAGTAAGAGAATTTTATAATCAATGCGAAATTTAACTGGTAACCAGTGTAAAGTTGATAAAACTGGGCTGATATGGTCAAACTTTCTGGTTCTTGTCAGACTCTGGCTGCAGCGTTCTGGACTGACTGAAGCTTGTTAAGGCTTTTGCTGGGACATCCAGCCAGCAGGGCATTACAGTAATCTAGCCTTGAGGTAATAAATGCATGAACTAACTTTTCTGCATCCCGTAGAGATAATGCATTTCTCAATTTAGCAATATTGTGGAGATGCAGGAAGGCTGTTCTAGTAATATTAGTTATATGTGCGTCGAAGGAAAGATCAGGGTCTATAATGACACCAAGGCTTTTTACAGATGAGCTTGATGCAACTGAGAAATTGTTAAGTTTAAGTGTTAAATTAGACAGTTTGTTTCTAGCCTCTTTTGGACCAAAAAGTAGAACCTCTGTTTTATCGGAGTTAAGAAGGAGAAAGTTGCTCAACATCCAGTCTTTTATGTCTTTTATACAGTCTTCAATCTTGCTAAGTTTAATTTTATCATCCGGTTTGCTTGCTAAGTATAACTGAGTGTCATCAGCATAGCAGTGGAAATTTATGCAGTGTTTACTGATAATGGTGCCTAGTGGTAGCATATATATTGTGAATAATATAGGTCCTAAAACAGAGCCTTGTGGAACACCATACTTTACTTTTGCAAGGGCAGATGATTCACCGTTTACATTAATGAACTGATAGAGATCATTGTGGTAGGACCTGAACCAGGAAAGAGCTGTTCCTGTTACCCCTACAAGGTTTTCTAGCCTTTCTAGTAAGATAGACAGTGTGGTCTATTGTGTCAAATGCCGCACTAAGATCGAGGAGGACTAACAAGGACACATTTTCTTGGTCGGAGAATAGTAATAGATTGTTTACAATTTTTACTAGTGCTCTGTACTATGATGTGGCCTGAAACCAGATTGGAATTTTTCGTGTATTTGATTCCTATGCAAATAGGAACTTAATTGTTTTACAACAACCTTTTCCAAGATCTTAGATATAAAAGTGAAAATGAGTGCTGTCACTGTATTATAGCCAGTAAAATCATTACGTTCTCTGGCAAACTCTGCCTAATTTCCTCAGCCTGGCAGTCACTGCACAGCAACCGTTGCTATCCGTCATTGCCTCAAACCTTCAGTTTGTAATCAGCTTGTCAGTGTTTGAATTTGAAGCTCCAGTTGGGGATAGAAGATGCAAGTGGGGACGTTTAAAAGTGATATTCCAATATAAATTCATATAATTTAGACAGCTTGTGGTGGTCATTGTTATTAGTCAGCATCGAATTTCATAATATTACAGTACATCTGTTAGAAACATGGTGGGGCTCATTCTCTGTCTGCTAAACACAACAGCTCACTGGTACAAATACTGAATTTTGATTATTCTCTGATGCTGCGTATTGAATGTACTTCTCTAAGACTGTGATATTTCCAACCCACTTGAAAAATAAATGCCACCATGTCCAGATTTACATGATCAGTCATTTTGTACAGTTATGATACTCTGACTATACAATAAAACAGCTTTCTCTGGTATTTTGTTATTGGTACAAGCCCTCTTACATGCTCGGTCAACAGCTGGTGTAATAAAGCTGGCATTATGTCTTTAGGAAAAGCCTTTAGTGGATAAACTCAGGAGAACTCTGGAAGATGGGCTTTTTCTTCGGTGTGTGTTTTGTAGCCCGAGAGTAGGATAAACAGTGGGAGGCTGATGCTGCACTGTAGTCAAAGCCATCACCATCCCCATACAGAACTGTGGAGAGATAAAAAAAAAAACAGAAATGTTACTTATTTTGCTTTTATTTTTTCTTTAAGCAAACATTATGGGACAGACAGTAATGAAATCACCTAATAAATTAGTTATTAAGTAATTACATGATAAAACTAATGGCACATATGATAAAAATATATAATTTATAAATTGGTAAATGTAGCAAGAGAACACACGACTGTCATGTCAGTGCCTGGCAGTTCCCCTCAAGGCCTCTAGAGGTCTCTGTTGCTTCAATATTCGTTGTTTTCTATGTTCCAGTTCTACCTTTACTTTGATTACTAGACTATTTAAATCCTGACCTCATGGCGCTCTGCTGGTGTAAACCTCCTCGCTGATGGATTATAGTGGAAGTGTTTGTTTTGTTGTTCTTGCTTGGGTCACTTGCTGTTCGGACGTAGTGTTGGTTCATTTTTACTGCTGTGCCACTAATAATGTTCCGACTGTGAGTTTAGATTTTCTCATAATTGCTCTCAGAGCCCCCCACCTGCCAGTGGCTCGGGCCCCTGGGCATGCACCCTTAAAACCTATTGGGTGGTCCGGGCCTGACAAAGGGTCTGTGTGAGGTTAGGAAGACAGTGTATTAAAAATGGAGAAAAGAACAGCAGATGTTTTTTCAATCTTTTAAAAATAAGAGGCGAACTTAATATGATTAGCAAACTCAGGATTAATGGTAATTTTATGAGTTTTTCATGTTCCTAACCGAAAAGAAAAAGGTTGCAAATGACTTTAATAACATGTGCTCCCGAGAATTACACATAGATGAAACTAAAGAAGCGATTAAAAACCTGATAAATCATAAATCACCAGGATGTGATAGTCCGACTTCGGAATTTATAAGGAATTTATAGACCCCATATCTCATTTCATGCTTGCAATATATGGATATGAGGCTCTTGAAAAAAATCAGCTGCCCACTTCATTAAAACAATGTGCCATTACTGTGATTCCTAAGCCAAACTAGGACCTTCTGCTTCTTCATTACGGACGTCCAATAATGCTGTCAAACAGTGACTACAAACTTCTGGCTATTGTTTTGGCAAAAAGGCTAAAGCACAGAATTAATGAGCTCATTGATTAATCCACTGAGGTTTTCTGAAAGATCGTCATGTTTCCAGTTACATCAGACTCGTGTTGGACCATGTTAGATATAAAGACCTTCTTAACGGCATCGTATTGATTCTTTTTTTAGATTTTAAAATGTATTTGACTGCATTAGGCATTCATTCATACAGGAAATTTTCAATTTGACTCCTTTTTATTAGAGCTGTAAAAACGCCACGCAGATAAGGTAACAGCTCAGTTAAACTCCTTCACCAAGATTTGATGTAAAGCGAGGTATTCGTCGAGGTTGCCCGCTAGCACCTCTATTATTCCCGTTAACATCTCAGATTCTAAGCGATCTGATAAACCAAAGTCAGTTCAGAGGAATAAAAACAATAAACACAGAACAGATCACAGGCTTTACACGGTACTGAGAGTATGTGGAGCTGTGCAAAGGAGGATGGAACAGACTATGACATATTAGCAGATAGCCTAGCATATATGAGCATAGCAGTCACTGAGGTAGCAACCAGAGCAGCGATATACAGTATCCAGTATTTGGTTCATACAGTAATTCTAGCAGCTAACAGTGTTACAGTGAAGTAAAATGTGCAAAAATGCAAGTATTCAGATCTACAGTCATATCAAATGAAGTACTTCAGTGAAGTGCAGTGATTATATTTAAATACAGTTTTCCAGACATAATGTGGAACTGCAGGAAGTGGGGAGTGAGTTGGTCCTGTATTGTTATGTATGTGTGTGTGTGTGTGTGTGTGTGGGTGTTATGTGTGTGTGGCAGTGATGCAGCTGCTCAGGATGCTCTCTATAAGATTAAGATTAAGACCCTTATTAGTCCCACAAACGGGGAAATTTCACCTCTGCTTTTGACCCATCCGTGCAGTGAAACACCACATACACACTAGGGGGCAGTGAGCACACTTGTCCGGAGCGGTGGGCAGCCCCATCCACGGCACCCGGGGAGCAGTTGGGGGTTCGGTGCCTTGCTCAAGGGCACCTCAGTCACGTACTGTCAGCTCTACGGGATCAAACCAGCGACCTTCCCCTATTATGCGTCTGTAGAAGCTGGTGATTATGGTGGGTGGGAGATGAGCTTTATAATTAAGGGAAATGTTGGCTTTAAAGTTCTGTGATCAAATCAAAATTATGAAACTCCTGTAAAAGGTACAAATATAGTGGCATTAAGATTCCTGAGTAACATAATCTTAAAACTGAGGCTGATTCCATCAGGGAGAAATTTAACTCAAGGTTGGCAAAACTTCTCAGTCTCCAAGGGAGATGTTTATTAACTAAAGCGGAGGGTCTTTCTCGTGCCTCTTACCTACATTGCTCCTCTGTAGATGTCCCACATGCCTTCTGTGGTCCTCTTGATAGAAAATTGTAATATAATAATAATAATAATAATAATAATTATTATTATTATTATTGATAGAATTTAATTTAGAAGAAAAAGCCTCGCAAAATCAAAGGATGTTATCAAAAATAGAGGATGGTGGACAACATATTTATTTATATATATAAAATACCATAGCAACAGCCTAACAACACCTAGGCAACCATCTGGGATAACAACTACGTCTGTTCTGACATTCTGTTTTGTGCTTTTTTAAGCTGCGTGTCTTGGTTGTCAGACATGTCAGTCAGTCAGTCATGACATTTTTAAATATTATGTTTAACCACAGACGCCTGCTTTTACACTCAGAGTGGCAGAAACTGTATCAGCACTCGTGAATTGCTTTCATGCTGAAAAGACAATTATATATATATATATATAAATCATTCCCTTTACCAAAGAACCATCTCTTTCAAGTCTGTAGTTAAAAGCAAAAAAAAAAAACTTGCAGCATGAACATCATACACTAAGCAGGTATGGCTGTGACTTAGATATAACTAACTTAGCTTTTCTTCCAATCTAGACCAAGGTGCGAAATACAGGGAGGCCTGGGGGGTCCGGGACCTCCTAATTAATCTCTTGGACCCCTTAAATGCCTCAAAATCAAAATGAGGTTTATGAACAATAGACACTCAAATACAAATTCAGGGAATTTCTTTATTTATCCTACTTCACAATCAGTGAGCCTCTGTCTTTGATATTCTTAACTAACTAGAGATTCAGCACTGCTCTGCCTCAGGGTGGCGCTAAAGCAGATGAGTTCACCCAGTTGGTCTTTCATGCCAAGCAACTGTCGCAATGCTCAGAATAGCACTTAAATACTTTACAGTATGCCACAGCATATTTGTAAATCTGAAAACTGGCCCAATTTTGCAAGAGATTAGTGAAAAGAGAGAATTATTGCTCATTTATATTATATGTATAAGCGGAGAACTTGTATAGAGGAGAGTTGCCACTATCTAATGTCTTCTGGGTTTCTCAAACGCTAGAGGGCGCTCCCGAGCGAGTCCAAAGTGAATGGGTTGATATGGAGCATTTGAGCAAAATCATAGTTTATAAACGCTTAAACATGTTTAATATAAAAGAATACATTTATTTCCTGAGCACAGAGCAGCATAAAACATTTTAACACTGCTGTTATATTTGAAGAGCTTTTAAACTCGAGTTGTAGGAGTTTAAAACAGCGTTGTTTTTATCCGTTTAGCTTCATTTACTCCCATTCATTTAGGACTCACTCGTGGGCGCCCTCTGCTGTTTAGCAGTCCTGTTTTTGATATAATAGGGGAAATAGGAAGTGGCCAGGCTCCTCATAAACCGGCTCTGGTATAAGACCTCAGTTCATGTGAGGAAGACAGCCATACCAAACTGGAAAAGAGCATTTCCAGAAGAAGGGCTGTTAAACTAAACAGTTTGTTGCCACTGCAGCTAGCATTAGCACCACTATGGTGAGTAAGTTAGCAGTTAGCCAGCGCTGGAGTAGTCAGCCAAAATAGGACCCCCTGAATACCAAGACGTATTTCACACACTGATATAGACCATAGCTAAATTTGCCATTATAGATTCTTTCATGGTTCAGTGATAGATACAGCATGTCAGAATTTGAAAATAAATTAAATTGTTGCAAGAACCCCAGTGCTATCACAATAAAAGTCCCAGATAAATCTATAGGAACTGTAAATTTACTTCATTTAATTGAACACTATAATAGTTATGAAACACTATGTTTTTGTCCTATTATTACTAGTAGTAGTTGATGTTTGTGGTGACAGAAGAATTGCTAATAAACTAACTAAAATGTGCTTAAATGAGTGTATATGTTATGTAATTCAAATTAAAATTAATAAAAATACAATTCAAAATAAAAGTCAGACTTGAAAAAAGTATAAAACACTTTTTTAACTGCATTTTTTCAACCCCCCATTGAGGAAGACCTCCTGGATAATGACCCTTAGGCAATTTGAGTTTGAGACTCCTGCTTTCGATGCGGATTAGATTTGAGTGTCTTCAGTCTCTGACAGAATACAGATAAGGACCAAGACGATACTCTGCGTATGTCCAGGCCCTCCTGCTTTGGATTTCGGAGTGGAGAGCCTTGGGCATCACAAAGACAGCTTTCAGCTGGACGACACAGTGGAGAGAGAGCAAACAGTAAGAAGGCAGTATAGCCCACAGCTATGGAGGTACGACATATAGAGGGGTCATGTGAAATGCCTACAGAGCATTCCAGCCTTTAGCCTGTTCTCCTTCAGGTTCTTGTGTGGACTAGAAGACCCTCAGAGCGAAGCAGACGCAACACGACCAGGACAAGGTGCTGCAGGTAATCTCAGCCACGGAATCAGGTATAACCACAGTAAAGGGCTAAGTGGCTTATTGATTATTATCAGTTTTTGTTGTGTATTAATTTATTAATTCTTTTTGTTTACCAAAGATACATACAAATATAAAAACCAGTCACCAGCAACCTTTTCTCATCAGCTTCAGCCAGAGTGACCATGCCTCGGCTGTGTGTCCCGCTGCTTCTCTGTGTCTTTGTGCTCGGACTCCTCTGCTTCGCAGGTATGAGACCTTGTGTATGAAAAAATGATGACATATTGGTTGTACCTCAAAAGCAGTTAGCTTTAATGTAGCCTAATTTAAACCTTTAATTTAAAGGGGAATTCCACCAATTTCTCAAAATTGGTCTTTTTTTATTTGTCTGTATAGTTAAGTTGTGGAGATGTAAACAAAATCATACAGAGTGGATTGATATGAAATGGTGCATTGTAGAGAAAATTTCTTTACAGTGGTGGGGGTCACAATGTTTATTACACAAATATGGCCATTTTATTTACTTCCCAAATTGACCACATCTACACATTTTAATATGTTACACACTGTTATATGTGGGGACTTTGGGGACCGAAAACACCCTGCATTCATATTTTTAGGCTAAAAGCTTATCTCAAAATTATCATAAAACACAGTCTCAGGCATCAGGCAGCATATTTGTGTAATTTCATGTAAGGGTTTTCTGTGAGGTAGACAAGCTTATTAAGACTTCAGCTAATTTGGACGTCTGGTTCCCATCACCACTGTTCACCACAATTCTGACGCAGTAAGTTTCTCTAGAAGCGTATCACATCAAACCATTCAGAATAAATTTGTTTGGATATTAACCAATTAATTACACATTTAATGAATTTTGAAAAAGTGCTGGAGTTCCACTTTAAGGTAATATAGTTTTGGACCGTTTCTAGTGGTTCATTTGTCAAGCAATATTCACATGTTGTAAGTGTGCAAGTTTGGTATCACCATGGCGATGTGATGTTTACATATGCGGAAATTACTCCCATCTAAACTTATAGAACTTGAAATTTTAAATGTTTTTAGAACTGTTTAGATTACATGTTTTTTTGCCCCATAAGGCTTGTAAATATATATATATATATATATATATATATATATATATATATATATATATATATATAGCCTATCCCAGCAGTCATTGGGTGGAAGGCAGGATACACCCTGGACAGGTCACAAGTCCATCGCAGGGCTATATATCATGGATAAATGACTTTGGCACAGGCCACAAATTATATTATATTTTTTCCAATATGTTAAATTTAGCAAATAAGCAGTATTTGTGAATTAAAGTGTGCAGAAGGGTGATCTCTGTAGAGACAATCAACAATGTGTCATTACAATGGGGCATCCAAACTTTTGCACACAGCTGTATACTCAGGCATGTATTTAGAAAATGTTAATGTCATTAAGGTTACAGCATTTACCCTTATTTACATCATGAATGTTTATGTTCATGATCATTTAGGCATATAAGTAAGTCATTCCATATATATATATAGCTTTATAGCTTTATCAGATTTTCATATGGGTCAGGCGTTTTACTAAATAAGGTCCACAGTGTATGTGTTTTAATCCAGGACATTCAAGGTTGTTATTTAATTTGCAGACAGGGCCTGATTTAAACACAGCTCTGTCTGTTGTGCAGCTCCAGCTCACCTCATGCGTATGTGCTGCTTTTTAGAGCGTGTAACCCATCCTGATTTGACAAGGGATCAAAACCATCGGTTCAGTTTCTCCTGCTGGATTAATTACCTGGAGGACCTCACTGACCATCAGAAACCTAAAAGGACAAACACAAATTAACAAAAAACTTTGACCTTCGAGTCATTTCATCACAAAAATCCATTTTGATCAGACTTGATGGGAATCGATACCGTGATCATGACTTTACCTGGAAGTCTGTGGTATTTAATTACAGCGGAAACCTTCAGGAAGGAATAGCCTGAGTGCTGCGTGAGAAGGTGCTGCAGAGTGGAAACACTTCACACTGTGTACCGAGTTAAAGATTCCTTTACATTTCTTCAGTAGAACTGAGGTTCCAGCCTTTTGCAAATCTCAGCCCTCAAAGCCAAACACAAAAGCTTCTGCAGCCCAAAAGAAGATTTAACTGACCTACATGTTTCAAATGCAAGCAAGTATAACACAGTAAATAACGCAGCCTAGTGAATTTCACTGGACTGTATAATGACACAATTAAAAAATATCTTTATCCACACTGATTGAATTCCATATGATCCAAAACAGGAAGTATTTACATTGACTTGCACTGAAAATAAACATAACATAAACATAACTAGCTGTGTCAGTCAGATCAGCAACACATTTTGCCAGACCAATCAATGAGCTCAACCTATATATGACATTTTATTTTTGCAAATAATTATCACAATAATAATATTAGTCATAAAATAAAATTGTTTAGTTAAAGGTCAAAGTGTTATGATTAAAAAAAATAAAATAAATATTTGGTAGTTTAGTAGTTTCCCTACTCAAACACGTCTGCTACACCCAGCAATTAATGAGCTGACTCAGGTGTGTTTGAGCAGGTAAATCAATAAACTGTGCTGGACACCAGTCCTCCAGGACCAGTGTGCGCACCCCTGTTCTAGAGACTGATTATTAAAGGTGTTGCCTACACATCTTCAAATCTCTGCCTGTTTCTTTCATTTGGACTCACCCTTTGCCCTCTTTCAGCCGAGCCGGGTTCATCTGTCCTAATCTTGTCTAGCACACAAACCTCAGACTGTAACTGCAGCTTTAGTCATGTTAAATCCCACTCTGTTTGTCTTCTTTTCAGAGGCAGAAGGAAACCAAGGTGAGCAGTAACTCCTAACTGCACATATCAATACAGTCATTTTCTAAATACTGATTGTGTTTGTGTGACTCACTGAATGCATGTTTTTTATAATCTTAAAGACTTTTTGATTCCTTTTATGTAGTTTGCAGCAGCCAATAAGTGTTTACCATTTGGCCAGGCCTCAAGAACACTATAATTATATTATATAAATAAGAGCAAATCCACCAGTCTTTCAAAATTGTTGCATAATTCAGTCATTGAGATGTAAACAGAGTCATTCAGAGTGGTTTGATGTGAAACAGTTCATCGTAGAGAAACTTACTGACTCTGATTCCTTTACAGTGGTGGTGATGGGAACCAGGGGTCACAATGTCTACATCACAAATATAGACACCTCACTTACCATTCTACAGAGCCCTGCTGGTGACATCCTGTATAAATAAAAATAATGCGTGGCCACGCCTTATTAACACATGGGAACGAGATCCTAATGTGTGGCCATGACTTAGTAAGGCATGGGAATGAGATGATTAAGTTGTAGCCACAACTTAATAAAGCATGGGAACGAGATCCTAATGGGTGGCCACAACTTAGTAAGCCGTGATCTTGTTCCCATGCCTTACTAAGTCATGGCCACGACTTAACCATCTCCTTCCTAAGCCTTACTAAGTCATGGCCACGCATTAGGATCTCATTCCCACGTGTTAATAAGGCATGGCCACGCATTATTTTTATTTATACAGGATGTCACCAGTGGGGCTCCGAACTATCCAACAAGTGAACCTACACAAGTTTTTGTCAGGATAGATTTTTAAGTTCTGCTAGTAGTTTTTAAGGCTTTAAATGACCTTAGAGATCCACTCCCCTCACAGAGTGTCTGTCTGTTTATGTTCCAATACTGGCCTTCTGCAAACACCTTCCCTAAAACACAGAAAATGTGGGGAGGCCTCTTTCAGTTATTGTGGTTTTAAACTGGAGCTCTTCTATTGGACAGTCAAGGTTAGCATACACTTTTAAGAAACATTTGAAAAAAGTATCTCTTTAATGCTTTCAATTAAATTCTACACCTCTTTGGTATTTATCTTCGATTTGATATGTTTCATGAATGAAGGACAAAATGTTTCAGGCCAAAATCTCAAATCTCTTAAAACTATTCGAAAACGAAGCCTCAGTCGTCAGGCAATGCATTTGTCACCATTTCATAGAAAAACTTTCTTTAGAGACATTAAACTTTTCAGATGTCTGGTTACCATCAACCACCACTAAGCACAACTCTACACTGCAGAAAATGGAATCTAGAGTGAAATTATCTTAAATCTGGGCGACATATCGAACATTTCTCACATTGAGATTGTTCTAAATTTATCAGATTATTGAAATTATTTCTAGGTTTTTTTTACGTAAGTGATTTTATCTCAATATATTGGTAGTTGATTGTGCTTGTTTTAAGAGCATTGAGTCTCATTCACCAATTTATTTTATTCTTATTCAGAAATTTCTTCTTAAAAACCCACTCATGCAGTTTTTATGAAGATTCTGGTTCACCAGTGTTTTCTTAGGTGGGATTTGTTCTTAGGTAAGAACAGAATCTACACACTCAAGAGCACAAAGGTGAGAACAGTTCTGCGATTTAAGAACACGTCATGAATCTGACATAGACTTTTTCTTAGGATCTTTCTCAAGAACACATTTAAGAAAAAAAACGTAGGAAGATGTTGGAGAATGAGGCCAAATATCAAAAAACACAAGATTATCTGGCAATATAGTGAGATAAAGTGCTTTACTAAAATCACTTAAAACTCTAGAAGTAAATTCAATATTCAGTCCCACTTTATATTGTATCTCTAATAACTGTGTAGTTACATGTGAACAACATATGCAACAACAATGTAACTACTAATGATTTAGTCACTATTACAGGTGGATTACAGAAGATGTTATTATACATGTGTATCAACTTCAGTTTTGCCTCATGTAATTACACAAGTGTATCTTAATAGTTGTAACGGCCTATTCTCTGTCATGTAATTACACAAGGGTAATAACATAAATGTGATTACATTTGTAATCAGACTGGAACAGCAGTTTTTCAGAAAGTTTTTTTTTTTTTCCTGCAGTAAAAGGAAGTTTGTAGCCAGTTTCAGCTTTAAACCATTCTTTATTTATTTCGCTGCTGTCGGAGGAAAACCTTGTATCTCCATTTTTTTACATTTTTCATTTGAAAATACCTGTTGCTCTTTACATTGTGTGTAAATTTCATGATGAATGAACTAAACGAAACGACCCAAAATGACTTGGAAAAACATCTGGTTCCATTGACTTACATTAAAAGTACACTAGGTTTTTTCCTTCTCCTGTAAAGTTACCATTTTGGAGATACAAGGTTTTTTCCAACAACAGTGACTTGTGACAGTACAGCAGACATCCACTTCTCTTAAAATGTACCTCTTATGATAGGTACCTACATAACAACTACACAGGAACTGTCCACTTATTTTAAAGTGTAACTTTAATACTACACTTAAGGAGAGTTCCTGTGTAGAAGATACACATGTATAATTACATAGGCTGTACTGCTGTAATCCATCTGTAACAGTGACTAAATCACCAGTAGTTACAGTGTTGTTGCATATGGTATTCATGTGTAACTACACAGTTATTAGAGACGTAATATAAAGTGGGATCCAATATTCTTACAATAAGCTTACAACAATCTCAGCGTGAGAAATATAGAATATATGGACTAGATTTAAGATAATTTCACTTGCCAAGATACCATTTTTTGTGGTGTAAGCATTTCTACAGCGGTAAATTCCACTTCAGAGCACTCTGAATGACTTTGTTTACATCTTAATTATTCAATTATGCAGAAATTTTGAAAAATCAGTGAAGTTCCCCTTCAAGGCTGCCTTGGATGGAAAAAAATGAATAAAATTGTAAAAATAATGAAAACCTTTTGACTGGGCCACTGGACATTATTGAAATCTCTTTCTTGTTTATTGGCTGAACTTCTTCTTTCTCTCTGATTGGCTGTTAGCTGAGCCTCGTGAGAAAAGGGGTGTGCCTAACTGGGCGCTGACGTCCTCTGACTTCTTCGGCTGGGTTGAGGAGCTGCGCTCTCATGCTGGTTATGACAAGATTGAGGAGCTGGCCAAAACCTTCTGGGCGCACTTCCCCTCGGCCAGCCGTCTGGGCTACGACCCCCCTGCTCCCGAAGAATGAAGCCATAAAAGGTTTTTTCCCTGCATGTCTCGACTGGCTCTTCCCCAAATTCTATCAACTGTCAGAAATCCATCGATTAGAAGCAAATTGTGAAACCCCAAAAGTGAGGTTCTGCCTGGATTTTGGGAAAACTTCATTGTTCATAAAACAATAAACATTTCCGTTTAAAAAAATGTGCTGTATGTGTTTCTCAGTCAAAACAATCCTTACACTGTAATTATGGCATTTCATGGGTGTTTCCAGCTGAACTGTTGAAGTTAATTTCCCTAAATTATTCACAGCTGCTTGACTAGAGACTGTTGATTGTATGTGACCCAAGAAGAAAAGGTGAGCTTCATTTGCACTGGCGTAAAGGGTGAATGGAGGTGTTCAAACACTAAAGAACGTAACCTGAGGAGCTCTGTAGAGATTCCTCCTTTTCAGAATATGTCATAGCTTTTACATACAAGGCTGTGCACATGCAAGAAAGCTTTGCCCATGTGCTTCCATTAGTCAGTGTTGAAAGCTGCTCTGCAAGATGGTTTAGTGATCGGCAACATAAGCCACTTGCAGTACATTTTAACCCCTTAAAATCTCAGGCTTATACTAAGTAAGACTTATTATTCAGTAACTACAGGGACTTCAATGTAAACTGCCTGAGCTATTCTTAGGTTATACAGGTGAGTGATGAAACCTTGGGCCTGCCAGTGCAGCCTGGCCAATTAAATCTAACATTTCAGAGAATTTTTGGAATTTGAATGTCTCAAATGCAGCTGCACGGCTCCTGACTGGTACCAAGAAAAGGGAAAGTATAACCCCTGTACTGGCTTCACTGCATTGGCTTCCAGTAAAATACTGAGTTTTATTGTTTGTTTTTAAAGCTCTTCATAACCTGGCTCCAAGTTACATTTCTGACCTCCTTCACCTTCGCTCGACCCCTCGTGTTTTACGCTCCTCTAACCAGTTGTGTTTAGATGTTCCTCGCTCTCGGCTGAAATTCAAAGGTGATCGGGCCTTTTCTGTAGCTGCTCCAAGACTTTGGAATAATCTTCCACTTTTTGTAAGGGAATCAGCCACAGTGGACACTTTTAAGTCCAACTTAAAAATCTTTTCTCTCAGGCATTTGAGTCCTGAGCGGATTATACTATTAGTTGTCTGTTTTGTCTTGGTCGACTCTGTCTTGTCATCAGGTTCTTTTACATGATTGTATTATTTTAAAATAGGTTTGTGTTATATGATCTTATTGTACAGCACTTTGGCCGGCACTCGTTGTCTTTTAAATCATCATCATCATCATCATCATCGTTCCCAGGTGACACTGTCCCCCGCAACTTCCTCCAGCTCATTCCCGGGGACCCCAAGCCGCTCCCAGGCCAACTTGGAGATATAATCCCTCCAGCGGGTCCTAGGACGACCCCGGGGTCTTATTCCGGTAGGCCGTGCCTGGTACCCCCCCACCAGGAGGCGTCCCGGGGGCATCCGGATCAGATGCCCGAACCACCTCAGCTGGCTCCTCTCAATGCGGAGGAGTAGCGGCTCTACTCTGAGCTCCTCCCGGATGGCCGAGCTCCTCACCCTATCAAATAGAGTGTAGCCCGCCACCCTGCGAAGAAAGCTCATTTCTGCCGCTTGTATTCGCGATCTCATTCTTTCGGTCATTACCCACAGCTCATGACCATAGATGTCGTTGTCTTTTAAATGTGCTATATAAATAAAGATGACTTGACTTGACTTGACTCTGTGTTAAACACGTTCTGACCTAAAAACATAAAAACTGGTGGAATCCAGTAAATGAAGGGGTTCATGATTTAATAATAATAAAGTAATAATAATAAAATAAATAATAAAGGTTCTGTTCAGGTACATTTTTCGTTCATCAAGGTACAAACAGTGTAAATGTTCCCTCAAAGGTACAACAGTGGTTTTAAGGTCTGATTGTGAACCTTAAATATGTTTTTCCGGGTGAAAAGTTCGTATTTGTACCTTTTCATAACCGAATGTTTTAAAACAGAACAGTAAAATAAAGTCCTGGAGACGAGACGGGGTGTGTGGAGTCAGTACAGCTTAGAACATATCATTTCAGTGGATTATGGTTCAGTTATGATCCCTGACTAAAGGTACTGAGAGCCACCTCAGTAACAAGAGGGGCACTGACCGAGTGACACTTTACTACCTTTATTTCTGAGAGTGTACAGAAATAAAATGCCTTTTCCAATATACTTCAGCTACTGTTTTCAAAAATCTGTTATGTCCAAAATTGTTACTAACAGAAAACACCATCACCACTGGGGCTTTGTTACAAATACATTTAGTGATTAAGCAGTTTAATACGAAAGGCAGTGCTCTATTGTTTTCAACTACAGTTTGCAAAATAAAGAAAGGAAAGCCTGAACATTGTTTCAGACCTATGTTTTTTGATGTTGGCAGTTTCTTCTGTCAAACAAAGTAGCGACTTCCTGCCATACATTGAAGTAATGTTGCATTGTAATAGTACAATGCTTGTAGTATATAAGCGTACACTAATTTGTATTAGTGTACAGATTAAGGTCCCGGAGATCTGCTTTCCTGCATGTTTCACCTCCAACACCAAACCAACACAACTCATTCAGCTCATTAAGGACTTCTGAAGACAATAGTTAGATCAGGTCAGGTGGGGTCAATTAGGGTTGGAGCTAAAATCTTCAGGAAGGTAGGGCTCCAGGAGCAGAGTTGGCAAATGCTGGTTTAGGGGAAGATCAAAGCGTATTATATTTCTATTTTTTTGTATTTGTTACAAAATACAAGTAAGCTAGAGTCCATCGTTGTTACTCAGCAACTAGTGTTGGGTGGAATGACACATTTATGAAGAAAGTGAATGTCACTCGGCCAGAACTATCCAAAAATGTGCCTCTGTAACATTTTAGCTAATGTTAAAATATTGAAATATGATTTTTAAAAAGTTCTGCATAATTTAATCACTAAGTAATTCAGGCTGGTTTGATGTGAAATGCTTTGCTCTAGAGAAACTTGCAGAGTCAGAATTGTTCACAGTGAAATCTGTCAACCAGACATCTGAAGCTCTTAATGCCTTTAAAAAGTTCCCTCACAGAAAATGATCAAATGAAATTATTACAAACATGTTGCCAGATGGATTGTTTTACAATAGTTTTGAGTCCTGCTTTTGGCTTAAAATTCATTTTTCATCCGTTTCTGAACATATTTTTCCGGATTAATCACTATTTTACATCATCAACATACATATAAAAACTCAGAAGACAAATGCAAGTTCACTTGTCACTTTCTTTGTGTTATAGACATTGTGACCCCTGGTTCCTATCACCACCACTGTAAAGAGTCTGTAAGTTTCTCCACAAATGAACTATGTAACATCAAACCACTCCGAATGACTTTGTTTACATCTTAACAAATAAATTATGCAATCATTTTGTGATGGAATTTTCCCTTTAAGAAGAGCTAACAGCCTTGTTGAGGAAGGTAAGTATGTTATTGACTTACATAATCTTCAAAAAATAAATAAATAAATAAAACAAACAACAGTACACAATGGCACATATGTGATAGGAGCTGTGGCGAACAGAGGGGTGTGTAGCAGAGCCCCTGAGTGCTGAGCTCATATTACAGGGCATGCTGTCACTTCAAAGCCAACACAGGAAATTGAGTTAAATGGGAAAAACATTAACATATACTGAAACACATGACTCCCCTCAAGATGTTTTGCTCCTTCTGCATGGATTTATGCCTTCAGAACTAAAAGTGACTAAAACGGAATAAAACAGCCACTTATCACTTTCTGTATTTAAAGCAACAGACATCTCTTTAGATTAGATCACATCCGATACCTGTTTGATTTGATTGCATCTGTTCATTTAACTTCTATTTGTAGAATCTATAATCTATAAGTTTGTGTAGTTTTATGTACCAAAAGCAATCATAAGTAGTTTTTCCATGACCATTTACGTGGCCAATTACGTGGCTCGATGCTCCTTTTATACCCAAGCATGACTGCATTACCTATTTAAGATGTTTTTCACAATGGACCTCATTCACCAATATCCTCTAAGTTTTTTCTCAAATTTCTTCTTGAAAAAGGTTTTAAGAAAAAGTCTATGTCAGATTCATGACGTGTTCGTAAACCGCAGAATTGTTCAGACTTTTGCACTCTTGCATCTTAATGAAAACTGCTTAAGTGGGTTTTAAGAAGAAATTTCTTCCGAAGAACGGTTGGTGAATGAGACCTAACTGTCTGACATGGTGTCCAGTAGCACAGGAGCCCTGCAGGGAACAGTCCTGGCACTGTTCCTTTTCACTCTGTACACTGCAGACTTCATGTGCAGCTCACCAAACTGTCTTCTAGAGAAGTTCTCTGATGACTCAGCGATCGTCGGACTCATTACAGGTGAAGACAACAGAGAGTACAGAGAACTGACCCAGGACTATATGAACTGGTGTCTGAGGAACCACCTCCTGATCACTTTCTGCCGCAGCGGATGTGGAAATGTTTCTTTTCTTATTCATTTATATCTTACCTCTGATGACAGTTCACATTTCACTACTGACAACTTTTTTCTTTAATTCGGGTGGCGTTTTATGTTTGGCTTTGGAAATGGTCGTCCTCCACTCCACCAAAGTTTCAGGTCTCACTTTCTCAAATCCCCCAGGCACAAATTTTGAATATCTGGAACTTCATGTTCAAAGTACCTTCACAGGTACACTAGCTCAGCTAGCTCAGTGCTAACCCTGACATGGAGAGTGAAAAGACATAGAAGGCATCAGGATTTCAAGCAGGGGTGGGGGGGGGGTGGTAGATGATTAAAGTCATATTTTATAGGCCTTCTGCATCACTTTGCCTACTGCTCTTGTGAATCTATTCACCACTCATTTTGTCTCTGAGATACATGGTCAGATGAAGGTCAGTGTGAGACAGTGGGTAATATTTCTGCTCTGACCACCCGCATGGACATTTGACTGAGCTCTTTCAGCTTTATTGATCTGTTAAACAGCTTGATATTTCCAGTTCCTTCTTTCTCCTTAAGGAACAGTGGCTCTGTGAGATTAGCATGCACTGTACAGTGCACTGTCCATTTGTGAGGAACTCTCCAGCTGCCAGAATAAAAACCTACTTCTGCTGCAAAGAGCCATCCATCGATCAATGGAGATTAAACGAATATTCTTGTCTGTACCTGTGCGTAGGAATGTTCTACAACCAAGTCTCTCAAATATCTGCCACATCTGTATTCTATAATTATGCAAAATCATCCCAGCCATGTAGAGGGATTTTTAAAATCTTTTTCTGTATTTCTTTCTGGCAGTAGTTTCTCAAAATGTTCACTTATCCAAAATTTTGACTTACTGTGTTGAATTAATTACTTATTTTCTTAAAATATTCCCCCACTATGTCAAAAATGACTTTTTGTCTCAAAATATTGTTGAAATAATGATTTATTTGCCAGAAATATTCAAATTCTTTTAAAAAACAATGTTATTTTGTCGCCCTGCGATGGTCTGGCGACTTGTCCAGGGTGTATCCGGCCTTCCACCCAGTGACCGCTGGGATAGGCTCCAGCACTACCCGCAACCCAGAAGGATAAGTGGTTTAGAAAATGTGTGTGTGTGTGTTATTTTTTGTCAACATGCTGTTTTTTTTTTTTTTACTTTGACTTACTAGGCTAAAATAATACGTTTCCTCAACATTTTGACTTGCAATGCTGGCATTTTAACTTATTATCTGAAAATAGTAACTTTTTTGAAACTTAATGTCATTATTTCAATATAATGCTGTGTTATAGACTCCAAATCTGAAGATATTAAGTCTAAATTTTGAGAAAATGATTAATTATGAGATACTAAATCAATATATACAGGATAGAAATCTATATTTTGAGATATTAGGTCAACATTTTGGGAAAATGAGTTATCATTGTGAGATATATTGTGAGATACCATGTCAGAAATTTGATAAAATATGTCATTAGTTTGAGATACTAAGTCAAAATTTTGTCATACTGCTGCCCTACACAGTCATTTTTTTTCTCTACCTGGTGAGAATGGTCAGGTGGTCGACTGCCACAGACAATAATTTTATCCATGCTTTTCCTGAGCTCAGTAAAAGAACAGAAACCCTGTTGGCTGGAAACACAGTCATAATAGAAGTCAGTGTGCAGGTGCTGAAGCAACCCATTGATTCAAAACACATTCATAATAGAAGCCAACAGGCAGCACCTGCACACAGGCCTCTATCATAACCGTGTTTACAGTCAACAGGTTTTCTGTTCTTTGGCAAAGTTCAGGAAATCACACCTAAAGTTTTGTCTGGTAAAGGACTGAACGCTACAGACGCAGCAGGTAGGGATTAGACCTGTACTCCTCCACACAGCTTTCTGCAGAGCTTCCTACTGACCTGCTCTGCTTTTAGGGACATTCCTCCACAGGCACCGGCAGGTTTCCAGCTGGAATGTTCTGGCTTCGTCCTGAGGGCTTCTGACTGTCTCTGACTACCATAGCCTAACTCACCTCACACAGCACAGTCAGCGGCTACAGGCATACAGACCACAGCCATGAAGCTCCACAGCCTCTGCATCAATGTTCTGCTTATCCTCGTCTTCTTGACCATCTACAACCCCTCAGGTATGTTACTCCATGGTTTTGCTTCTCCTGGATGTTTTCTTGCCCTAGATATCCTTTCGTCCAGAGTGGCTTCACTGCTAAATGATTTTGGAGACAAAGAGACCAGCAACGCTGCACTTTCTCTAAACTTAAGAACACTTTTGCATTTGTTCAGTGTCAATCAAGGTTATGCAGACATAGAGAGGCATGTAGGGTTCAAAGGGTCTATATGTGTGAATCATCACTGAAAAAATAGGCTTTTCTTTGTAAAACACTGCCTCTTCAAATGAAAACAGCACTTCACAAAAGACGATCATGAACGAGAGCTGGTAAAGGTTGTACTTGCTGCTTTTTGCAATCTTAACCATGCTGACAATGTAACTGCAGTTTTAAATGGGACAAAATTTCACTCTCTTCAATTGTTTTCTTTTCAGGGGCAGAAGAGAGGCAAGGTGAGCAATAACTGCACTCATACACCTCGATCATGCCAACAGAGGGCCGTTTCTGGCTATGAGCAGCTGCAAAGGAAAAATACTACTACTACTACTAATAATAATAATAATAATAGAGGAAATAATAATTACAAAGATATTTATCTGGACAGTAAGTGTTTAAATTCTCAAAATACAAATAGTCTTAATAGAAAAAGTAAAATTTTACATATTTCAATGTTTGTTTAACCATTTCCAAACCTTTTCTTGTGGCAGCCCAGTATTACTTATAGTTATCATCACCTTTCATACTCATACCTTACTTTGGTTTATCAACCCTTCATTATGTCAAGTGGGCTGGTGATGAAACTGAACAAATATGATGGCTGGAATGTTAAGCTCACAAGATATCAACCACTTTTTTACTGTATTTGTGTTTAGTTGCATTTATTGTAATGCTACATGGTGTTTTTCAGAGGTGTGGACTTGGCTCATATGACTTGGACTCGAGTCCGACTGGAGTTACAAATTTGATGAGTTTAGACTCGACTCGAGAAAATTGAGAAAGACTTGGGACTCGACTTTGACTTCAAGACCAATTCCTGTAAACTTTGTTCAGCTCGGTCATTTTAGTTTCTGTTGCTGTCTGAATTTAATTCAAATTAGCAGTTGTTTTTAATTTGCTGAGCTGGTTTTTATTTGAATCCTGTGCGCCCAACGTTCCCAAAAATCAGAAAAAAATTATCCTCACATATAAAGTTTTTTTAATTAACTTGAGTAATGCTTTTAAAATGTCTTGTGTGTGGATGCATTACCCTGTGTGTACCAGTATGCCTCTTCTGGTTATCTGTGTACCATGGATTTTGTATTTTAGTTGGAAGGGTAAAAAAATAATAATAATAAAAAATGTATATACTGCCATACACTGCTAACATACAGACATATAATATGTAATATACAGACATGCTGTCATTAAAAGGCTATAGTGCTGTTACCATTAATGAGTGTTATGGCCTTAAATTAGCTGAAGAATGCAGACTGACTCGTTTAGCACTCAAAGATTAGGACTATTGACTTGGGACTCGACTTAAGACTCGCCTGTATTGACTTGGGACTTGAATCGAGAGTCGACTATCTTGACTTGGGACTTATATGTTACTTGCAACTTAGTTACTTGTTCCCATCTCTGGTCTTTTTTTACAAGCATAAATACACTTATTGCCAAGATAAATGGTTTTAAACTGTGCTTAAGTGCCTGAGACGTTTGCGCAATACTACATAATATGTATTTATTTCTGGAAAAGAGTATATTGAGTCCAGAGATTCTTCTTTTCATAATTAAAATCAATTCAAGACTAATATATTAACTAATATACTCTATACCTCTTATAAAAGAGCAAATGGGGTGGCTGGAATGGTCCTCTGCAAACATTATGAAGATAATGAAGAATGTAAAATGTGCTTGCCTGCTTTATAAATATTGCCTTTCACATGCATTTCACATTCAGGACTTTGGGTGAACCTTTTACCTGAACCCTGCTTCATAACACTGATATAACCATGCCATAAATCAGTCAGAGCTGATGTCATATGATGTCATGAGTTGACTTTGTTTAGTAATGTATCAGTGGTTATGCTGACCTTATACAGTAAGTCGTATTAACAGATTTTGATTAGGCACATAGTTCCTTCTTCTTGGAAACCTCCTTCTTTAGGAGGCCTTTAAAAAACAGCATAAAACCATCCAGACAATTTTAATGCATGTTTGTCTTTTCTAGGTGCCTCTAATGGAAATGCACTGCGCAAGCTATTTAAGAAAAGAGAAGGTAATGCATCATCTCTGTCAACGTTACCTGCAATTATATTTAGAGCCGGAGCACAAAGTCTGTCAGCACCATACAAACTGTTTTGCCATTCGCAGTGAACCTGTAAATACGGTGTAGTGTCACTTCCATCGCTGTGATGATCAGCTGTCCAGAACTTCTCATCAAGCCTGGACCTCTGGAGCAGAATAAGGCCACTGACTGACAACAGCAGGGCTGATTATTCATGGAATTCACCATTTGTATTTATGACAGAGTAATCGAGTGGCTGTGAGTCATGGTCTGGATGTCAGAATCACTCTCCCTCAGAGTCAGAAAGAGATCATTTGGCATGGAAACTGTCCCCTCTGGCTATTTTGCTGGGTTTCGGCTTGAGCTGCTCTTATAAGGAATCCAGATGACAAAACCTGTCTATAAATCTCTGACTGATCTTAAATCAGTGCTGGTTAGAATGCAAGGCTTTAATCACTCTCTCCCTCCTTCTCCTCCTCATTGTCAGTCCAGAGCAGGCCTGCAGGCGAGCTAGTCGTCTCTCAGGTAAAGGCTAAAGAATTTCTCTCAGCCCCCCGGAGGCCCAGGAGGAACCTGTGGGACCGCAGCCGTCCAGATGTGCAGCAGTGGATCCAGCAGTTCATGTACATGGGCTACGACGAGGCTGTGAGTTAAATTCTCTTATGAAAATACACTCAATGGCCACTTTATTAGGTGCCTTGTATCTACACTCATTAGCCATTTTACCAGGTACACCCAAAAGGGACCACCATATGACAGATATTATGTGGGTGGTGGACCAGCAAAGCAGTAACACAAGCATGGTCGTGGCATGATAGTGTGTGTGGTGTCACTGGAGATTGTAAACATGGTGTACACTTACTGGCCACTTTATTAGAAACAGCGACCTTGTTGGTATACTTGTAGGTGTGCAGTTAGAGACTACAGGGCGTCTGCATTAAAAATTGGCTGGAGAGATTTACTAAATGGCCACAGTGGAACTTTTTAGTGCCTGTAATAATCAAACAGATGCTCTCTTGCACTTATGTCTTATGAGTTTTCCCTGTCTATGTGCAAAATACTAGGGGGAGATTATTATAATGAAGCACCTTTTCCCATTCACCAATAAATACCTAAGCTTTGATCATACTGTATATATCATATCTAAAATGATCATTGAAAATAATAATAATAATTGAAAAGAAAAACTGTCCATATAATTATGTCCACCGTGTGAAATTATTATATAGTTAGGACCAGTGGTGGACAGTAACTAAGTAAATGAAATTCTTTACTGTACTTAAGTAGTTTTTTCGTGTATCTGTACTTTACTGAAGTTTTTCCATTTTTGGTGACTTTTTACTTTCACTCCACTACATTTCAAAGTCTAATATCTCACTTTTTACTCCACTACATTATGAGAAATCTGTCGTTCCTTTTGTTTTATGTGTGTAAAAAAACATAACGTCAAAACAAAAGAAGTTTGAAGCAAGAACACCAATCAGGGCACAGCGCCCACTTGAGCTTGTTTTGACCTGTTGGTCATACCGACCCAGTGCAGCACACGGTTCAACATCAGTGCAGCAGCGTAAAATTTTGGGAGAGTCTGTTCAACATAAATGATGAACTAACCTAACTTTGTGTAAATAGACCACAATATAGAAATATGTACTCATATGCAGTTGTGACTGACGTGTATTTTTTCTGAATTTGTACAAACACATTTCATTTTATAGTAAATTAGTTTTGTCAGTTTATGTTTATGAACAGAGACCTACAGATGCAGTTTAGTAAAGGAAACTCATTTGTGAACCTGAGTTTAAAGCAAGTTTTTATTAAACTTAAACTTGTAACTAAGTTGTAAATAAATCTTAAACTGAAACTTTGCTTGTTTGTAAAAAGTGATTTCAGAGCCACTCAGTTCTACCTGATGGAAACTGTTTGCCTTCAGTGTTTTTTGCTTATGATAATTTTAATAAACATCAGCGTCACTAATTAATGACTCTATTAAAAGACTGGTTTACCAAGAGCGACACTGGAGTATTTTCACCTAAAATGAGTTAATGAAGCGAGTCTTGTTACAAAAATGATAATAGGACATCAGAGTCATAATTAATCTTTCAGTACTTTCACTTTCAATACTTAAGTACATTTGAAGGCAAATACTTTTGTACTTTTACTCAAGTGGAGGTCTAAAGGGAGGAACTTCTACTTTTACTGCAGTAATATTTTACCTTGGTTATCTCTACTTTAACTCAAGTACATGATTTGTGTACTTCGTCCACGACTGGTTAAGACTGGAGTTGACAACTCTGCCATTGAAGACCTTTTACTAAGAGCTGTGAATCTTCTTTGACAATGAAATACAGCACGGGAGATGCTACTAGTACAAACATACAAATACCATATACTGCGCTGTATCATTTGATCATTGTGTGCATGCCATGCCAGTCGTTGTATAACAGTGCTCTATGTGGAAAAGTTTTCTGGTTTCTCTTACTAAGTCAACATCTTGAAAAAATCCTTATTAAGACCTAATAAGTTTGAAACCTCTCTGGTGTAAACAGATTTTGATATAAAAAGCATGTGAGCCAAACATATGGTTATATTACACTCGTAATATTTTAACTATAAGGTTACATAACACGCTTAACTGGCCACCCACACCAGTGCAAACTGTCAGTACACTGTCGATTGTTTGTGCCTCTTTTAGTAAATCTGCCCCCATAGCTCAGGGTAAGGAATCAATCTCATTTGGGCTCATGGCACTGGGCGGCCCACGGCCACCAGGCCCCATAAAATCTTTCTTGGGCCCGTCATCTATCCAAGGATACAACCCATAGACACTTCTCAACAACATACCTCACCAGTTAGCTTCCATCAACACACTGAGAAAAAAGTTGCTTTGAAATGACGTGATTAAAATCAAGCGGTTTCACATAAACAAAATGTACAGACAGATGTCTATCCCCCTATCTATAGCCTATCTCCCTCTTATTTATAGTGCATCTATGGTAACTGTTGTCAAACAGATCCTTCTCAGTCCTTCACATGATAAATTCATTATTTATAACCTTAAGTTGAAAAAAATTAAATGATTTCATTCTAATAATATACATGATACATGTTCATTGCTTTGTTATGCCGCTACACCACATATGTGTACAGTTTCACACGTTCGCTTTCACCACGTTACGTTCACATTTGTGAACTGACACTGACATTGTGGTTGAGCTTTGGCTTAAATTTCTTCCTTAAAAACTTCTCAAACAACCACAAGTAGTGCTATGTTTACAGTTAATGATAGAACCATTCACAAATAGAATTCATGAACAAGTTATTTGTGTTATGCATTTGCTTAAGGGCACCTCGTTAAGTAATGCATAAGTAAATGAACCTTCAAGTGCCACAATTCACAATTACGCATGCTTGTGCATCACGCACTGAATTTGAAATCAATGTCCTAAAGGCACTGAACACAAAGCGGGAGGGTACAAATGAATGAGAAGGAGAGTTGGAGTCTCTCTAAATGTAACGGAGGTCGAGATGTGTATAAATTAGCCTGTACTCTGTCAGTCTCAGGGGCAGAGATGGTCAGCTGCCTGCTTAAATCCAGGCCTAACCACAGGGTGTGTAATTACTGTTCCTGTGATTGTTGGGCCTTGACAGCTTACTGATGGAAGTGTGACCGGTCACACTGCCATCTGTGTCCTCCCAGACGTGAACAGTCTGTGGGTGTGTGTATGTTTGGGTGGAAGCGCACAGGGTGGAAATAAAGTGCAGTGACTCAGTTACCGGATGTATCCCTCTAAGGTATAATGTTGCCTCTAGTTAACAGACCCATATTTGGCGTATTACAGGCACACCGGTCATCCTAAAAATGACAGTATACTGTAAATAGGGGCCAGGGTGCTGAGGAAACCAGTAAATGGATTTAAACTGATTATATATATATATATATATATATCATTTGAAATTAGTTTGAGTCTGGCTTTGTCACATGATCTCTGTTGTCTGTCTTGTCTTTTCTCATTTTACAGTAATTAGGGTGGCCATACTTCCTCTTTTTCCACCTTTTTTGGGACATAAACATTTTTTCCAGCCAGAATTCCTAAGTAGGATTTGGCTTTGCTTTCATGTGGATATTTGCTTTCAATAGTCTTTGATTCTCTTTCTCAAGAATAGCTTAGTAAAAATGTATTTTAAGTAATCAGGTAATAGGCTTGTGATATCACATGCAATAGATCATTGTCTGCTTGGTCCTCTAGCCATTGCAAATTGACGATACTATCACTGGGTGCAGAAGAGCAGGTTTTCTGTGCGCACAGAATGAGGAGATATAAATATGGACTGCAGTCTGATTCTTACAGTGACAGACTCAGGATCCCCTTCAGCGAAATCTCTGGCACCTTCCTCCAGTCACCCCTATCAGCACAGTGGGTCGTGTGTTAACACTGCATTACCTGCTGCGTCTGAGTAAAACTGGAGAAAATGAATATACTCTGCTCAGAAACTGTAAGCCAACAATGGTTTTGGTATGGTTCAGTGGTTTTTGGTTATAATTTGGTAGTTTTTGCTGAGGTTTGGCGTGATTTGGTAGTTTTTGCTATGGTTTTGGTAGTTTTTGCTATGATTTGGTAGTTTTTGCTATGGTTTGGTGTGATTTGGTAGTTTTTGCTGTGGTTTGGTAGTGTTTGGTATGATTTGGTAGCTTTTGCTGTGGTTTGGTAGTTTTTGATATGATTTGGTAGTTTTCATTATGGTTTGGTAGTGTTTGGTATGATTTGGTAGTTTTTGCTGTGGTTTGGTAGTGTTTGGTATGATTTGGTAGTTTTTGCTGTGGTTTGGTAGCGTTTGGTATGATTTGGTAGTTTTTGATATGGTTTGGTAGTGTTTGGTATGATTTGGTAGTTTTTGCTGTGGTTTGGTAGTGTTTGGTATGATTTGGTAGTTTTTGCTGTGGTTTGGTAGCGTTTGGTATGATTTGGTAGTTTTTGCTGTGGTTTGGTAGCGTCTGGTATGATTTGGTAGTGTTTGCTGTGGTTTGGTAGCGTCTGGTATGATTTGGTAGTGTTTGCTGTGGTTTGGTAGTGTTTGGTATGATTTGGTAGTTTTTGCTGTGGTTTGGTAGCGTTTGGTATGATTTGGTAGTTTTTGCTGTGGTTTGGTAGCGTCTGGTATGATTTGGTAGTTTTTGCTGTGGTTTGGTAGTGTTTGGTATGATTTGGTAGTTTTTGCTGTGGTTTGGTAGCGTTTGGTATGATTTGGTAGTTTTTGCTGTGGTTTGGTAGCGTCTGGTATGATTTGGTAGTTTTTGCTGTGGTTTGGTAGTGTTTGGTATGATTTGGTAGTTTTTGCTGTGGTTTGGTAGTGTTTGGTATGATTTGGTAGTGTTTGCTGTGGTTTGGTAGCGTCTGGTATGATTTGGTAGCTTTTGCTGTGGTTTGGTAGCATCTGGTATGATTTGGTAGTTTTTGCTGTGGTTTGGTAGCGTCTGGTATGATTTGGTAGTTTTTGCTGTGGTTTGGTAGCGTCTGGTATGATTTGGTAGTTTTTGCTGTGGTTTGGTTGTGTTTGGTATGATTTGGTAGTGTTTGCTGTGGTTTGGTTGTGTTTGGTATGATTTGGTAGTGTTTGCTGTGGTTTGGTAGTGTTTGGTATGATTTGGTAGTTTTTGCTGTGGTTTGGTAGCGTTTGGTATGATTTGGTAGTTTTTGCTGTGGTTTGGTAGTGTTTGGTATGATTTGGTAGTGTTTGCTGTGGTTTGGTTGTGTTTGTCGGTGTTATTCAGTATGTGATTCTGAATGTAATCAGTTATTTCTAAGAAAGAATATTATCTAAAGGTATCAAATGCCAGTAACATGCAGTGGTGGGAGCCTCAGCTTCCAAATGCAGAGACATCTTTGTGCTGGCTTTATTTTTAGCAGGCAAATGGTAAAATCTTAAATCGGTGCTGGGTTCACATGTGACATTACAGCCTCAAGCCACAACTTTTGTGTCTTTGTGCTTCACCAGGTCGTTCGTTTATGAACGTTCTCTCATACATTCTTTATTGTGCTTCCAGAGGCTTGAGACGGACCTCTCTCACTGGATGGACTACGCCAGAGCAAATGACCAAGGGAGGCAGCATCATTATGATGAGAACGCTGCAATGGGACCACAACATCCCAGCTCCTACAGACATGGTGCCAATGTCAATTATGATTATTATTAGACTTGTTTCTTGATGGCTAAAGTAGCAGATTTTTACAAGCTCCTTATATCTTTGCCACTGTAGCCGGCACAGAAACATATGCCCTCTTATGAAAGTCAAGTAACATTATTTGAGAACACTGTTTATAAGGATACCAGACACCTACATAAGGCCTTCATGACATCTGACATAAACCTACGCAAACAGTTACAGGAGCTGACTCCAGCTGATGTCAGCTGGTGTTTGTGTTATGTTTTCCCCTCAAAGTGACAGCCACTTGTTGACATAATGTCATATTATGACACTTTCCGGGTTGAAATGATACGTTGTCATGTTACGAAACCTGCCTTTGTAGCTCAGTGTATTTCAGAATATCAGTGACATAATGCTGATAATGTTTTGATTTTCTAACAGAAAATAAGTTAACACATCCTCTACTGAGATCAAATTTATATATGATATTTTTTCTGCAAATGTTAGTGCACAATTTGTATTTATTTGCATATTTTAACATATTAGGAAAAAAAAAAACATATGCCATATGCCATCACGTTTGCACAGGGCACTTTTTATATTGAATTTTTTATCCAATATGTTCAATTCAGCAAATAAACAGTAATTGTGCATTAAAATGTGCAGAAGAGTGTTCTCAACAGAGGATTCGTTCACTTATTTTAACTTAATCAATAAAAACACGTCATTTGACCCAGGGTGCCCAAACTTTTGCATATGGTTGTAGCTTGCCTACTGCACCTAGTTAGAAAAATGAACATAGGTTAGCACTTCAAAAAATGCTTTCCAGTTTCTCCTGTTTTCATCACATAGTAATAATACTGACATAGAATCAGCCTTTATAATGTTAAAGTACATTTATATCAGTTTTCATGAAAGTAAGCGTCCTGTAGCTTTATGAACATAACCTTTAAAAGGAAAAATCCACCGATTTTTCAAAATTTCACAATAATTCAGACCCTGAGATGTAAACAGAGTCATTCAGAGTAGTTTGATGTGAAAAGGTTCATTATAAAGAAACTTACAGACTCTGATATCTTTGGTGGTGATGGGAACCAGGGGTCACAATGCTTACAACACAAATATAGCCATTTTATTTACTTCCCAAAACCACCAGTGAACCTACATGCATTTTCTGGCTTTTTGTAAGTAATGATGATGATGGTAAAATAGTCAAAAGTTTTCTTTGGGGACTGTTTTGCCTCACAATGCCCCGCCAGGAATGGATTGACATAAATGGATTAAAATACATTTTAGGCCAAATCTTTATCACAAAACTATCATAAAACAATGTCTCAGACATCAGGCAGCATATATCTCACCATTTTATGTAATAAAGTTCTGCGAGGGAGCTTTTAGAAGCATTAAACTCTGCAGACGTCTGGTTCCTTTCACCACCACTGTGAACAATTCTGACGTAGCAACTTTCTCCAGAACGGAGTGTTTCACACCAAACCACTCTGAATGACTTTGTTAGATCTCAACCATTTAATTTTGCAGAAGTTTTGTAAAATCAGTTCCCACTTAAAGACCAGTGATGATGTCCATTTTGTAGCATGTTATTCATTTCGTTCACTTTTAATAAAGGAATATTTGCTAAATGTTGTAAACTCAGTCCATCTTTGTAAAACAGTGCATGCATATGGTGAGTCGTTAATGCTCCAATGTTCATCAGTTCACTGATCCACAGGCAGCCAACGCGATACATGTGACACACACACACACACACACACACACACACACAATGCCGGAGTGGGTAATTAGGAGAGCTCCTGGAGGGCTGGGAGCCACTTATGGTTAGCTAATGTATAAACTCATGCACATCAGCACAAGAATGCTGCTTCAAACTATAAATGATACATCCAAGTGTGTATCCATAGTAATTTAGGGGTCAGGGTTAGGTTAGGGTCACTCATGTACAGTGGAGTTTAGCTAAATCTGAAGCCTCTTGTTTCACTTCCCGTTCCAACTTAAATGATGTAGTAATTCCATTCAGACGTCTGTTTGAGCACTAGCCTGTAACTGCTTCACTATTTAGAGTGCAATGGAAATTCAAATAAGGTAACATCAGCCTTGAGAGATTAGCATTTCATTGTATTAGCATTGCTACATGCTATGGCAATTTTCATATATGAATCATGTGAGGACGGACACCAGAAGCAAGAACTGCAAAAAACCAAGGTGGCACTGAGAACACAAGAATAAAAAAGCTACTGAAGGAGGATGAGGACATATCCAAGCAGGTGGGCAGTGAGAAATGCTGACCTTAACTCTCATAGCTGGCTTTAGTTTGTAGCATATTGACCATCAGGATGGTCTTACATGTAAGAGAAAGGCTTTCTGTGGTTTTCATTTTGTCACTAGCTAACCACCTTGGTGTGAAGACAGCATATAAATCAATTAGTCAGAAGTTATTTTGCACCAAGGCAATGCTGTATATATGCATGTGTGTGCAGCAGGAGAACTACAGTTAGAGTTTAAGGGTGGGCTGGTGTGCATCGTGTAATTCCTGGTCTGACAACAAATCCCACAAGACCTTAAACGTGACATTTCTTTGCAAATTTTAGAGCACAATTTCTGTTTATTTGCTCAGTTAACATAAAGGGAAAAAAACATAATCAATAAACAAGCAACACACAACATGTTGAACCTTGAGGTGGATGGGCTACAACACCAGACCATGGTGGGTTCCACTTCTGTCAGCCAAGAACAGAAAGCTGAGGCTGCAGTGGGCACAGGCTCACCAAAACTGGACAACTGAATACTGAAAAAAATGTAGCCTGGTCTGATGAGTCTAGATTTCCGCCGAGGCTCACAGATGAGAGAGTCAGAATTTGGTGCAAACAGCATGAATCTATGGACCCAACCTGCCTTGTGTCAACAGTCTAGGCTGGTGGAGGTGGTGTAATGGTGCAGGGAATCTTTTAATGGCACACATTGGGCCTGTTAATACCCATTACAGCCTATTTGAGCATTGTTGCTGACTACGTATATCCCTTTATGGCCCTAATTTACCCAGTTTAACCATTCTTTACTGGCTACTTCCAGCATGAAAATCATCAACTATGCATATAACATGCATCTGATTCCACCGATCGAGCATTCCTGAAGAAGCAGGTGTGGCGAGTTGTGGTCATGCAGGAAGGTAGATCTCCAGCACAAGGGTTGGTGACCACAGCTGGACAGGATGTGCTAATTTATTTTCACTTGGAAAATCAGCAAAACATGTAACTTGACCACGGGTGCTAAAACATTTGCATATGACTGTATATGGCAAAGCAAATTGTCACAACTATAGCGCTGTTTACTGGATTACTTCATATCTGTACTGTCTCTCGTGGGACTGGAGTGCATACTGGCATCAGACTGTGTCATATATCAACGTCTGTTTGCACTTACCACAACTGTGTGTGTGTGTGTGTGTGTGCGTGTGTGTGTGTGTGCGTGTGTGTGTTTGCGTGTGTGTGTGTGTGTGTGTTTGTGTGTCTGTGTGTGTGTTTGCGTGTGTGTGTGTGTGTTTGTGTGTCTGTGTGTGTGTGCACGCCAGATAGATGATCCAGAATCTGAGCAGCACATCTGTGTGTAAATGCACGTCCCATTCTGTGTGTGTGCATGGACTATTTTCCAGGAGGAGTAACACCACAGTAGATCAGGCCAATGGATTAAGGTTGATCCTCACATTATTGCCCTGAAATCCCTCCATTAGAGTAGCAGTATCTCCATCTAGCTGTTTGCTTCTTAGCTGTTACTATGGAGTTAGATTTAAGCCAAAATGTCTGATATTCATAAATTGTGATTTGAAGATATAGATCAGCTTTTGAATATAAATGCATTAAAGTGCAAATATGAGAAGTATTTCGGGGGTCTTAGTGCACTCAGTTCAGTTTCAAGATGTGCACATTTGCCTACATTTTGTACTTTCTATTCCTTCAGATCATCTTGGACTGACTTGCTTTTCAGTTTGCTGTGTGTAAACTTTGCAATATTGTTGCACTGCGACCAGAATCACAATCGCACAGTGTGCCAGTCTGAATCTTACTTGTAAAGTCATAGATTGTATATAATTGTAGATGTATTACAGTTTGTGAAGTAAAAAGACACATATGAACTTTACCCAAATAAAGTAAATCTTTGTGATCCCTTCTTTCTGGTTAACTAGCGCAAGTTTGCATTTTATTTTTTTATATGCAAACCTTTGACAGTGTTTTTGCACATCTCTCAGAATCGTAGTCACACGGTCCAGATGAGTGTGTAGTGCTGGCAACTGTGGACACTTCCAGGTCATGATTGCTTACATTTTTTTCTTGTTTATAGGTATTCAGATAAAAAGTTGGACATCACGCATAGCACTTTTAGCTAGGTTAGTCTTTAGCTAGTCCACAAAAGGAAAAATACAGAGGTTCTGTTTGTTGATAGCATTACCTTACAACTTTAACAACCAACCATCCACTGCAATGGACAATAATACTGCAAAAAACAATGATAAAAAAATTACATTTGAAATTCTTAAATTTTTTTTTAATCACTGGAACATAATTCAGGTCTGAAAGGGTTAATACCATCATCACTCCAGTGAGTGAGGGGCAGTGAGAGAATGAAAGGTGCCAAAAAGGGGTTTTTGGAGAAAAAGAACGGAGGTATTTCATTAAAACTAAAGGTCCAGTTAAACTATAGTTGTTGCTCACAATGGAGAAACTAATGTAAACTAACATGATTCAGATATGTGGTAGAAATATAACAGGGCTAAATGGTTTAGTAGAACTTATATAGTACTTTTAACTAACTAAATATTTTTTTCATTGAACTAATGCAAATGTGTGGTGCTCTGTTAATGCGAACATTCATGTGCACGTCTCCACAATTAGTTTTTTTTTTTCAGTGCATAACCATTAATGATTACTCCAGGCAACCAATAAAACAAAATAAGACACATCAGTTATATTTGATAAGCCGTTATTGAACATTTTGAAATTTTATAGCCATTGTTTGTTAAAAAAAAAGAAAAAATG